TATGTCCTGTACATACTAAGATACACACGAGTGAGAAAAGTCATTAGACTTTATAAACAAAATTGATCCAAAACTATACAACTATACTGGATTTGGTCAAGTTAAAGGTGCACTGTGTAACTTTTCTAGTGGAGGGTCTGTCAAATGTTTTTCTTCATGGAGATGTTATTGCTTTGTCTGGAATGTTTCACAGTATGGTATTAAACCTTTCTATCTTAATGGAGACCAAACCAGACCAAGTTAGAGGTCAGATCTGTGGAGAGGCGACCCCGCTCACAGTCAGAATGCCTCTTTTTCGGAGTATTTTTGAGCACTGCAACCATCTGTAACTGAATAAATGTAAGGCAGGAGTGTCAAACTCAAATTCATAGAAATCCATAGAAAGAAGCAGGTGATAGACATTGATTAAAGTGAAAATTTCTTACCAACTGAAAACAACTGATTTACAAATGACAGTAAATTAAAACAAAAACTGTCCTTGTTATTTAATTGTTAGGTAACATTTTATAATTAATTGGTGCTATTGACCCTGGAATATAAGCAGGGTTGGGCCTGGTTAGTACTGGGATGGGAGACTGCTGTAGTGCTGCATCAATGGTTAAGCTGCTACAGCGCTCATCCACTAACTCAAAAGTTTGTGAACCCTGCTTAGACCAATTCCATTCTATCAGTGTGTCCTTTGGCAAGACATGGTGAGGAGAAAATTCAGTTTGTCAAATGGACAAAAGTTAGTTTGTTTGAAGACGTTTTGCAGCTCATCCAAAGCTGCTTCTTCATTTCTGGTCAGAATGCTGGTGGACACTTCCTTATATCTGCAGGGAGGAGCTAACTAACTGAAACTAACACACCTACAGTTTACAGTTGTTTACAGTTTCTGTTTGTGTTAGTTTCAGTGTAGTTAGCTCCTCCCTGCAGATATAAGAAAGTGTCCACCAGCATTCTGACCAGAACTGAAGAAGCAGCTTTGGATGAGATGCAAAACATCTTCAAACAAACTAACTTTTGTCCATTCGACAAACTGAATGTTCTCCTCATGGATTCTACGTGGACAACTGAGGGATTCTTCACACAACTTTGGCAAGACACTTCACGCACCTGGAATCTAGTGCATGGATTAGAGTGTGTTTGCAGAACAACGACCAAACAGAAATTCACCCATGGCTACAATCATGCGTGTTCATATGATATGCCTATTAACATGCACTATTCAAGCTTATCAAATCTTTTACAACAGCACTATTGGCATAAAAGTTCTGCAGTTCAGTTAACCAGGCAGGGCTGCTCATTTTGCTGACACTTTTAGCTCCTAACTACACTCTAGCCGTATACTGACCTTTCATAGTTGGAATAGGAAAAAACTGACTGTTACATTGTGGTTAAATGAGTCTTCTGTAAATGCAGCTAACCCTTTTAAGACCTCTTTGCCATTAATTTCACCCTGCATCATACTGCTCTACTATGACTCAAGTCTGAATCATGTCACGTATACTGTTGTGGGGCATTCTTACTAATTCGAACATCAGGGAGTCAGAATTGCAGAATAAACAGTTGTAAGTAAACCATAATAAATGTGTTAGATACATGTCCAAACCAGGGCTATAGAGTTAGGATAAATGAGAGAAATCCTGAGTCAGACCTGTTCAGACCATTCCTCTCTACTGCCTCACTCACTTCCAGGAACATGCCCCCTCCTCACCGCACACCCACTAATGACTTGGCAACATTTGGACCATATGTGTTCAGTTTTAACTACACGCAAGATGTTGTACTAATGTGTACTGCTATTAAAATATATTTAGGCAGGTTTTATTTGAACAAACATGAGAACTGTGTAGTCTGGAGAAAACATGCTTTTTATTTTGTAAGGTATTTTTACTAGACCAAATCTACTTTTACATCTTTAGAGTACTAACAGTAGTTGCAGAAGTAGAAGTAGAGGTAGGTGTAGTGGTAGCAGTTGCTTCAGATGTAAAAAGAGTCGGTCGTAGTTGTAATATTTTCAAGTTGTAGATGAAATAGAAGTAGTACTACTAATGTCTCTAATTAACAGAGTTACTTAAATGCACTTTGCATTACAGCTTTTACTTCCCCGTGTAGTCTGGTTACTTCACAGCACATCTTTCAACACCTTCTTAGCTCTCTGTGTAAACCACATAGAACTTTACTATGGTGTCTTTAGTGTCTTTAGTCTTACAGTGCCCCCTAGAGGCTGTAGTAGACTCATGTAGAGCAGATGTCCAAGCAAATCCCCTGCCCCCTTCTTTCAGAGTTCAACTGTTACTCATCACGGCTGCTTATGGGGCCTGTCTCACACCCCTCACCCAGTGGCCAGCGCAGGACCCCAGCGTCTGCTCTGACCAAATGGCCCGAGGAGAGCGTCAGGGGAGCGGGCCGGGCCAAAAGTCAAATTGGAACCATATTTCATCCACACTCTATCTCTTTAGAAAACACACAGATGTACGAGAGCCATTGGTAAATATATACACATGCAAACTGCAGACATGTGGCCTGGACCACTCACACTATTGGCATTTCAGCTATGGGAACAATGTGAAGTGGACTTGTTGTAGGTGGTTTTCTGAAGTGTTACGAGAAATGTTATCTACGATTTATTGCACAATACGGCCATTTTTATTTTTATCCATCATGGCAGTAATATCTAAAACTGTAATGGCACAACTGTGATTTCCTGGGTGACTTGTTGCCCTTTTGTTAATTGCCAGCAGTCTATGACCCCAACTGTGACCCCTCCACAAGCTATATTCTGTTCAATACGTATTCTGTCTTCTGTCTTTAACTTTATGCATTGTTTGTTCACAAATATCTCTTAAATATTGTCTGTCAATTACGTCTTGAAGTGAAAAATGTAGCATCTTGACATTTTGTGGAGATTGATTAACCATTTGTGTTTATTGCAAGACAAAAAATTACAGCAAAAACTGCATTTACTTATAATGTTGTCCTATGCCTACAGTCCAAATACTTGTCAAAGTGGAGACCGGCACATTTGGTTTGTTGGCTTCACTTTCATGTTAACTGTCTGAGGAAGGAGTTGTTAAAAAGACTTTGTCTTGTATATTTGTAGTAGTTTTCCCAGCCCTTTGTGTTGTTGGCCTTGTTCTTTGCTTTGTGTCTGGCTGCAGAGTGAAGATGGCGGGCGGGTGGGCGTCCCTGTGTGAGCCCCTCTCCTCCCTGTCCAGCGCGGGCTTGAGGTCTGGAACACATTACATCTGATATTAAACACATGGCAGCAGTTAGAACGGAGAAAAGGCGAGAGAAGAAAAAACGCTTTTCTAAAAAACTAAAGAAAACAGAGTGGATTTGTCAGCCAGCCCCCTCCTGCCTCAGTCTTATGTTCCTCGTCCTTAGCCCTGATTCGGCTTTTGTGTCTTTGTCTCTCTGGTTTCAGAGTTTGTAGGTCGATCGTGAACTCGTATACATCAAGAAGGTTCACTTTTTTGTGGAAAAATGAAAGAAACTTGAGACACACCACCTCACGAGATGTATAAAATATGTGAGCACCATGAACTCATATATATGTAGGCCATTTTATAAGACCGTATGTCATTCAGTTTTTATTACTTGTAGCAGTAGTTTTAATACTCTAACCAAGGCATTTAGACTGTAGTAGTATTTAGGCAGCAGTAGTAATAATAATATCAATTTCTGTTACTGTAAGTAGGTAGGGTTGCATTCTGCTTTTTGGCCAGACATCTTGAGTTTCATGATATGTTTTTTGTTATGGCATAAAATCATATTGTCCTAGTTTCCCAAACTGTGGTACACTCTTCTGGTGGTACATGGACTCCTACAGTTCAAGTGTTTGTTCAGTTTATAGTAAATTACATTTACTTCCTTCATGGTAGTCAGTGGGCAGAACTACTTACATCATATTTTATTCCTATTTTAGATCTTATTTAGCACTAGTTTAGTCTGGGAGAGTCCAGTATATCAGTTTTTAGACCTGATCTCGTTATAATTTTTTAGGTGGTACTGGGTATTAAAAAGAAACACAATCTTTCCCTTTCTGCCTTTTTACTTTGAAAAGCACCGATGTCACTTGAGTAACTCTTTCGGTGTCTCCGCTGCACAGACACGGAGGTGTTTTCTTTTTGTTCCAGATAGTGCTTTCCCATGTGAGATGTGGATCAGTGTGCTTCATAAAGCAGCGGTAATGAGACGAGGGACTGAGCTGGAACTCAGATGGTATCAGGGGGACTGCAGGTCTCCAGACACACTTTTGAATGAGAAAAAAAATTGTCTCTGATCACTCCAGAGGAATGTTGGCACTGTTTTTAGGTGGAAGGAGAGCATACCAAAAGCTCCTCGCACTAATTTCTTCTTTTTCCTGTGAGGATCCCATCAGGGAGGCTCCTTCCCCTGTGCAGAGGACTCTCTGTCACTTCCACCAGCTCTAAATCATGTCAGTGTTTCTGCAGCCGGATGCCTCTACTGACATAAATCTGTACTTTTATCCAAGCTTGGAACAGACACAAAACACTTATGTGCCTTCAGGGATATAGAGAGTTGTCATGATATGTGTTTCATTGTTTAATTTTCAAACTTTCTGTTAGTTAATTCACCAATCTTGTGAAGCCCTCCGAGGCGACTGCTGTTGTGATCGTTGTGTTGTGAAAAATAAGAAGAAGAACACAGGGCAGTTTAGAAATTTTAGATCACATCTATTAATGCAAAAAAGGTTTCAAGTGGTATTTAAAGTTGAAAACATATCTGAACATGTCTCCAGAGACATAAGTTAATTGCACATTAGATGAAGTCTTAATTTCTTAATTTGTCTGCTAGGAATGCCTTCTGGGAGTCACACACACTCCTGTCCAAAACCTGTCAGTGCAGACAAGCTCTCAATCACTACTGCTGTGGGTCAACTACTACAAACTAGAAAAACAGAAACCGTTGTTTTACTAGTCAGTGCTTCTCTAGCTCTTCTTCAGGTGTGTTTTGCTGCTGTGACTAATACATTTCATTCTTCCACCTATCAGGTCATCAGCAGCCAGGTCACTTTGGGAGGCCATGTTGACCAGTAAGCAGAAGGAAGGGGTGCTGGAGGTGCGGAGACAGCTAGTGGAGGCTGCCAGCAAAGAAAAGCTCCCTATCAAGATGAGTATGGGTAAGAAATGCAACACTGTTCTCATACCTTAAACCTGCACTATGTGACTTATCCATCTATCTATCTCTCTCCATGGAGACAAGCAGATGATTCCACATGGCTGACTTCCAGGTCCAATCTGTGGAGAGGCGAGCAGTAAGGGTTGTTATGTTTGTAATAATAGTAAATGTAAGGATTGTAGAGTAAGATCCTTGTGTGCAGCGATAACATCTACAATGTGACAGATTTAATCCCAAATGCCCTTCCATCTAAAACCTTTCATATTTATGCAAGGTTGTCAAAACGCTAACACACTCAAAATGCTAATCTCATGACTGGATCTGTGGGCATATTAAGAAATGTATGAAAAATGATACCAGGACATTCTGAAAGGAAATTCAATTGTTCATAGAAAATTAAACCCATTTGCTAAAGATTTCCCCATGACCAATGTCATAAAAGAGGCTTTTTGCAGCTGACTTGCACAATCTACAAATGAAAGACACGTTTTACAGTCTGCTGTCCCAATGGTGCTTGTAATTAGGGTTCAGTTTTTTTGTTTTGTTTAATTTATCAGATGTTACTGTTACTTTAAATTAATCATTCAATCAGTACCCATACTTAGAAATTCAGCATCTGTTATTTGTAACATTGAACCTTAATAGACCTGTTACAATAACAAACCTTAAAGTACGATATATTGCTGAAGAAAATAGACGCTAAACAATACTGAAACTAATTTATGCCACTGACACAATAACCCTAAACCAGATTTAAACCACAAAGAGCTATTTTTAATGTACAATACTGTTTAAAAAAAAAGCATGAGCTGCCATAAATAAATAGCACAATGAAACACTTTACTTCTTTGCATCTGTAATGAGTAATGAATTCAACCTTTTATGGCTCAAATCTTATCATATAGCCAAAACATAACCACAGACTTGGGTAGTGCAAAAGTAGTGCAAAGAAAATGTACACAGGATAAATACTGACCACAAAAATATATAGTTTCAGCTTGCATTTATTGAATGATAAGTTTATATAGCAATTTTTGTGGCAGGCCTAAAGTGTAATCAGTCTAATCTAAGTAAACAAAATATCCTGGAATAGAAAACCAATTGACCCTTTGCCCTTTTGACCAAAATGACTCACTCTTTGCAGCAGAATAAGAGTATAGCAGCCGTAGTGGACCCACAGCGCCCCCACTTGAGCCCCTCGCTCCCTGCCCGGCCGTATATTTGCCCATGTGGCCACAAAGGAAATCTAAACCACATGTTGGCTGTACGACACACACACGCATGCACACACGCCACTTTTTTGTTAAACTTTTGTTGTTTGTTAATGGAGCAAAAAACGACTTGAGATACAGATAAGACTTTGTGGAAAAATAAAATGGTTTAAAGCCACTTGTATAAAGCCCTTCCTCACCTTTTAGACTTTGTAGTTATGAAGGTCATAAACATAGCTAATGTACAGGTTAGCATCTGGCCAAAGGGGGTTTTAAAATGGGAGGGGTGTCTGTGGTCCCTCAGCGCCTATAATCTATGAGGTAAAGAAGGTTCTGTCTTTGGTAACGAGCAGGTTGTAATATGTTGGAGGTCACACAGCCACACTGGAGCTGGCAGAGACATAGACACAGCGGTTTGTTTTTACACATTTGTCTAAAGACTCCTCTAATTTAGGCACAACAAGAAAAAAGTCTACAGAGATATATTAGATGTGACAGCCAATGTAATAAGCAAGGTACTGCAGCTCTGCTGTACATACTAATGTACGAATGTGTGAGAAAAATTGACCACCTTATTAATGTAAATGCTTACCACATAATTTAGTGGTATTTTTGTAGCGTAATAACTAGGATGCTGAACACCAGACACATCAGACTTATTTCTATACAGCACAATAAATGTGGATTATAAGGAGCATTTTTCTAAATATGGGACTTGTATAACCTGTCTAACTTCAGATTGATAGGCTTCACACTCTAAATTGAGTTCTAGACATTTATTTATTCATCTGGAACCGTCGAGAAAAATGCATTGTCCACAAATGCACAAAGTGCCTCCCTCTGCACGATTTTCAGGAACAATAGACTGAAGTATGTTCATCAGCACTGCCATGTTTGTTTTGGTTCATTTAGGCACTTCATCTTTGGCTTCTGCTCAAACCACAAACCTGCACTCTGATTGGTCTGAACCATTAGTGGCCCGAGCCCAATCATAACAGCTGGAACATGGCTAGATGGATTCTCATGTGTTTGTGAATTCACAAATATTGCAAGAATTCATCTTTTTTTTCATCAGTTTTATTTGATCAAAATATAATTACTAAGTAAACATGCATTTAGTGAAGTTTCATCATTTGAAACTAGGTTGGCTTGATGCTGCCTCCTCCCTTTTTTCTTTGAACATATAGAACTTTTGGACGTTGTCTTTAAAGACCTTCATGGGAAACACAGTGAAGTCTCTCTCTTCTTATGTGAAGCAATTATGCACATATGAATTTATGTATGTATGTATATATGTATATGTGCAATAGTAGTAAAATACATGAATTTGCCACAGGCATGGCTGCAATACCTCATGTCCACTCCATTTAGAAACAAAACCAAGAAATAGCCAAACTAATGCCTTGCTTCTCTTGGTTCTATGGGGCTTTAATTGTGTATTTTACCTCGATTTATTTGTAATTTGAAAGCGAATATCAACTTTCAAGACCAGTTTTGACAGATGTGTTTCATTTACTATACTTCACTGTAACCCTTGACAATGTACCTTTAAAACTGGTACTATAAATACATAAGTCTGCTATGTTTGATACAGTTAAGTTTATACAAATTGGATGTGACTGACAGCCTGTTGACTTTCTGTTTTTGCTGAGACGGAGAGAAAAGAGAAGAGCGGGAAGAGAGTGGGCACTGTATTATGGCCTGCACACTGAGGCTTTATACCACACACTGGCTCCAGACCAGGACCCTCCAGGACCCCCCCCCCCAACCCAAACTCAGCCCCCACACACAGCTCTCCTCCCTGCCCACCTGACCACAAGCAGAGCCCCCTCTCCGGTGTCTCATATGAGGCTAAAACCTTCATCATAAAAAGCCCTATTAAGCATTAATATGTAATCAAAGAAGAATCAAAGAAATTAAAGAAGTAATATATTTGTGGCTCTACTTCTAAGTCCATTAGCAATACAGTTTTATTTAGCTTAGTTAGTTAATAAAGGCCTAGCCACTATTAAAATGCATGTTAGCCTGGTTTGGGCTAGGTTTGAGCTGGTTTATCATTTTTCATAGGTGAAGTTCTAGTTCAGTGCAGTTTTTCCATTGTTTTAAGTTTCAGTCAGATTTGGTAGTGGTTAGGAAGTGTTTGAGTCATTATTTATGCTCGGTTTGGCCATTGTCTCATTTTGTTTTCATTTTCCAAGTCCTTATTTAGTCCTGGTTGTCTGGATTTGTCTTTTTGGCTAGATTTTAACCTGGTTTGAATTGTGTTTAATTGTGCAATGTGTAACTTTTCTGGAAGAGGATTCGTTGTCTCAGAGATCTCAGGATATGTCATTATTCCATTACAGATATTTTTATTGCTCAAAATACCTTGAAAAACACATATTGTAATGGTGAACGGGTTTACCTATCCATAGATCTGACCTGTAAGTAGGTGTAATGGTGTCTTACTGTGGACTATTCTAGAAAAAGCAATAGCTTCTCCATGGAGATAAGCAGACAGCTGATCAAAAGTTACTTACTAGTGCACCTTTTATATTTTAGTTTGATTGCACCGATCCAGCTTTTTCAGTTTTGGTACAGATTCCGATGCTATAGCTTTAAATATCTGCCCATTCTTGATATCAGCCAATACCAGTGCAGAGACATTTATTCACTTAAAACAAAAATAAAATGGGACCAAACTGATCCAAACGTCCTATGGAGCTGTTATTTATCTTTCAAGTAATCACAGTACAACTTTGTTTAAATGCAAATTCAAACATTACGAGACTTTCTGAGCCAATTATGATCAGTAAATAGTCCTTATATCAATTTATATACCGAACTGGGACATCGACTGAACTGATATTTGGAAACCGATATTTGGATATCAGCAAATTTTTCAGTATCCGTGCTGATATCATATACCAGTATGACATCAGATTTGTGCGTCCTTACAAATAAACCTGTTGCCCTAGTATCTTCTGCCTTTGTCCCAGAGTATAAAGTTGAAACCCACTGGTATCTCCCTATGGCAGATGAGTTCTCACATAGCCTTTGACCCAGGCCTGGACACTTCTCATCTCAGCGGGATAAGATAATTGAGAAGTGAAGTTGTAGAGCAAAGTCACATAATCCAGTCGTCTTGTGCCAGGTTTCTCGGAGCGCAGAAGATGATGAGACCCCCTCAGTGTGGACTTGTGTGGATGTGTCTGCGGTTTGGTGTTTGGACGAGCTGTTTTCTTTGCTCATTGCAGGGAATTTGGTTTCATTATTCATCGTATCCAAACACAAGGATGCAAGGTAATGTGGGTCACGTAGTTTCTGTATATTTATGATTTATCAGTGTAAATTAGAGGGAGGACAGGGCTTTTGAGTTGGCTGTTAGAATTGCAGTGTGTGAAATATTAAATAGTTGGTATTATCAAAGCTACAGTATGTATTTTTCATTCATACAAACAATGTACGCAACAGAATGATACACTTCTATTACATCTACTTTCTACAATCTGCTACAAGTTAAAGAGCCCATATTATGCTATTTTGTGATCTATGTTATAATGGTGTTTCCTCATGAAAAACATACCTAAAGTTCCATACACCTTCACTAGAATCATTTGGATAATTTCAGGCCTGGAGTTGCTACTGTACTAAAGGTAAAAGGTAGCTGTACCTGAAAACTATGACTACATGACATCACAAGGTGGAACTGAGCATTTTCAGCTTTGGAGATGTAGACCGACTGATATGCCAGGATTGGTCAAATGTCTGAATGAATGAAAACAAAACACGGGCTGTGTTTTTGATGAGG